ACACTGGTCTAGCACCAGATAAACAGCACTGGTAGCAATCGCTTAATGCGGGCCTTTACTAAGGGTGCTGTAGCATAGCTTCATGGGTGTAAACACACATTCACATGTATGTGAAATCTAGATGACAGTGGTGTTGGATCTCACTATTGTCCTACATTTACAGACAGTGTCTTAGTCTGGATTAGCCAAATAATTATCTAATGGTTTTCTCTCTGGTGTCGTACTGCTGCAGAAGTTTCAGATCGTGTTTATGAACCTCAGTGCTCTCTTTGGGCCCGAGAGGAATTTTGGCAGAAAGGGGACTGACTGGGTGGAGCAAGGAGGGCTGCAAAGGAGAGGAGCTTGTCTTGGGGCCTACGTAAAAATTTCAAATAGTGCAAGCTATTTGGGTGTCACAAGCAAAGGAGGGCCCAGCTTTGCATTATGGGAGCAACAAGAGTTTGGCAGAGTTGGTTTTAATCCTTTCATTTCCATGCTCCTCAGTATTGTTTCTCTCCCCAGTCTTCTTGATCCCTCTGTTACAAAGCAGAGACTTCTCTCTTGGTGTCAGTGCCCATCTTCCAGTGATTTCAGGGAGCTTTGGGTAAGGCCTTTAATGAGGAATTTAGAACTCAGCTGTCTTTGTGCATTACCAGCATATTTTCCTGAATTGAGCTCATGCTGTTGCATGTGTGACTTGTGTCAACTTTGGCAGGAAGTTTGCAGTCCTGGAACGCAGTACGGATGCAGGTATCCTCTAGGCTGAGCTGCTTGAGTGCACTGAGTATGAACAGAGCCAGACCAGTAAAGCTGCAGCAAAGCAAGAGATCTCTGCAGCAGCAGGCAATGAATGTGACCAGGACAAGGCTGCAATTCTTGAGTTTAAAGCTTCTAGGTTAGCATTTCTTCTTGGTTTCTCTTTTTTTACCTCCTCCTTTCTAGGTTTGAAATTTTTTTTTTTTTTTTTTTTTGGTGGTAGTGTTTGGAAGTGCTATTTTTTTTTCCTTTTCCCTGCATGCTTTTTCATGCAGCTCCCAGAGCAGATTGCTGCTCAATTCCTCCAGGGCAGAGGGGGAACTAGCTGCAATTACTAGCTGCAGATGTAAACACTTGCTGCCCCGTCCTGGAGAGTGGAGCTGCCACTGGCAATTAAAGACAGTTAGCAGTTTCCCCGCTAGTGTAAATTCTTGCACTGCCCCTTCCCACATCCCACCCCAGAGGAAGTGGAATTTCAGCAACGTAGCATTGGTTTTTTTCCTAATACTTGCCACTCCTGTCGGTCTCTGGGAGTTCCCAAAGCTAGTCTAAGAACATCTCCTCTTGTCTTCCTAGTGAAAGAAGCTTTCATTTCCAGTAGTGTCCGTTCTGTTCGGCAACAAGTCCAATTCAGGCTGCGGACTTTGATCTGCATTGTTCTGTCCAGTCTTGTCCTATTTGTTTAGAATTGCATTTGTCTTTGTTTAGTAGAACTCATAAATGATAACATTTCCTCCAGGAATTCAGATGTTGCTGTTGATGTTAATGTAGTATTGGAAGAACGCTGTGCTATGTGGTTTCCATTTTTAAAAAAATTATATGGGTTTGAAAATATGACATATACACACATACAAAACAAAGTGCATGTAAAGTAGACCAATACAAAACTGATTAGTTTTACCTTTTTTGTTTTTTTGGTTTGGGTTTTTTTCTAGATAAATATAGAAGTAACTCCTATATAAAATGGGGGTAATAATTCTTATGTCTCTCGTGGGGGCTGTAGAGTTTCCTGAGAGAGGAGTTGAGAAATGCAAGTTATCATTGCTGGATTTCCTTTTCCTGTACAGACACAGCGTTTGGCTGACATGCTGTGAAATGTGTACCAGTTATCAACATGTTTTCAGTTTCAAGGGTCGTTCCAAAATTCCTTTTCTCAGCTGTTCTGGGAAAAAATTTATAGAGACCATTGACACCAGAATGATCTGTCATGATAGTGTTTTGTGTGTTTTTGTTTAGAACCTTTGCAGAGAGGCTACTGAAATATTAATAGCTTTCCACTTTGTGAGACATCACATTGCGGTAGTGTGGTCTGTGTATCCTTTCTATGTTCCCAAAACACATGTGGTTTAGATGCCTTTCATATATTTTAATACAAAGTGGCTGGTTGAGTGGTCCATGCACTCCCAGAGGAGCCAAAACTCACTTCACGAATCAAGAGAATACAGGGCTGTAAGGCAATTTACCATTCAGGCTATTGTGGAGGAGGGTGATTTAAAATGTTATAGTGGCTTGAAAGAGAAAAACCCAAAGCAGTGATTGAAAGGCTTGAAATGACTGACTTAATGTGACAACTCTCCTTTTCCTCTGTTGGGTCTATTGCAGAGGTGATCATGCACAGTTAATGTGTTGTACGGTGCTCAATGGTACCTGTTTGCAGGACTTCTTTGAAATTAAGAGTGAGAGATCATTTATTTAATAGACTGCATTAAAGAATGAGTTTCTGATGAAGCAAGTTAGGTGTTAAACACTTTTCAGGTGAACCATTTACTTATGTAATTATCTTTCATTTACATTATAATAAATGTTTCTCCAGGGAGTTTAGCCAATCATGAAATGCAATTAATTTTCAAATGCTCTTCAGCAACAATTGACACTCCAGAGACCAAAATCCCTAGGCAGTGTGTACATTTTAAAACTCTCCTGCTAAAGGGAAGCTGCTTAAACTGGGTTGATCATGCAGTTGTTAAATTCTAGGTTTTTAACAGTGTTTTTTACATGCCTATCACTACAAGTTGGAGTGCTGGACTTGATACCCAGGTTGTGTAGGCCTGGTATCTCCCCTTAGTTTCCAGAGCCTTGAAGAGGTTCAGGATGCTGTTCTTCAAATTAAGCCCAGGACGACTCACTTCAGTGAAGATGGAGGAGTTTAAATGTTCTTGGTTTGTCACAAACTCTGATTGCTGTACGATACTGGCTGGGGCACGTAGCCAGCTGTTTTGCAGTTTGTCTGGTATGTAAAATGGGAGTAACGTAAATCTCATGTCTCTAAGGTGTACATGGAGATGTATGGATAGAAGGGACTGGTTGGTGACTGTGTAGTATCTGTGGATGACAGGCAAAGTATCATGCTGCTTAAGTTTAATTAATTTTCTAACCTAAATGTTGTTACAGTCGCTTTTGTTCTAAGTCTTACTAGTGTGCCGATAAAATAATCTGTGGAATTCCACCTTTTACAACTGTACGTAGTCCAACAGCTTAGCTTTTCAAGAATGGATTAATTTTATTGTGGCATTCAGTTTTCAGATGAATTGCTGCTGTGGTTGGAGTAGGGATCTCCATCTGAATGGAGCTGGCTTTTTAGAAGTGAAAAGGAACAAAGTGATGTTGTTAGCCCTCACCTACTCCAAACAGACCTGCTTCTGCAAGCTGGCTCCGTTTTTTTTTTTTTTTTCTGATGTTAAGCCTTGGGCCCCAATGCAGATACTGTTCCAGCCACGCTGGATTGCAGGGGACAGATGGGCTTGGGTTGAAAAGGGCTTACAGCCCCCTGCAGAGACTCTTCCAGCCCTGAGGTTCGCAGATCCAAAGCAGTGGAACCTGCAAGTCTGGAGTATTTGGAGGCTGAAGAGGAGGAAGAGCTTTTATCCTTTCATGCTTGCAAAATCCAATGTAGGAAAGCTCTTGTCAGTGATATTCTCTCTTCATAGCAAACAAATGAAACCTCTTTGAATTTGTGCATTTTCCTGAGGCTTTCCCTTCAGCCAGGGGTAAAGAGGAAAGGAGGCTTTATTTACAGATGTTGCTTTCAGAGTGAATCTAGCATGATGATATTATCTGTAAATACACTTTTGGGCATCAGACATCTTTCCATTTATTTAAAAACATGATAGAAAGATCGTCCAATATGGGAATGAATACTTGACAAATTCCTATACTCCGTTTTGTTGCCTCGGAGTACATATGCAGTTTAAAATGAGTCTGCATCTGCTGTTATATCATCCTGTTGCTTCCAGCAGAATACTAGCACTTTTATTTTGACCAACAAATTTTGTTACTCGCTGTTTAAACTGACCTCTAAACATAAGAGACCAGAATGCTCTGGGCCTTCTGTGTTCTTGGAGGTGTCTCTGAGACCGAACCTGGTGGGATTCGGGTCTGAGCTACTTGCACTGTTCATATGTTCCCTATAAATACAGGGCAGCTAGTGGGTTTCAGGCAGCGTGGATTTTGTAAGCACCTACACACAGATCACAGTCAGATCATTATGTTGATCTAAACCATTTTGTAATCCTCTACAATCTGGGTTTAGAGACTGTTATTAGTGTCACAAATAAAAGCTTGTGACTTCTTTAGTTCTTGGGATAAAAGACGACACGTACTTTCAGAGAATTACATATCAAAATTAAAACAGCATAAACGTGCAGGACTTTGAGGATAGTTATCCTGCTTTTTCAAGACTGAGTCCTGAATTCACAAGATTGCAAGAGAGAAATTGATTAATTTCATAGTCAGTCATGCACTGAAGAAGCCAAGTTAAACCAAGAGGATGAGGTGTGAAAGAGTCTTTTAAAAATCTTTCTCAGTAACTTGAAGCTTTAAACATGGCTACAAGGAAGTGTATTTTTTTTTTTTTTAAAACTGAACTTGTAGGAAGGAAACCTCCTTTGCCCAGGTAGGTCACAGATTTAGAGATAGAAATGGATAGAAAGGTACTTAAGAGTTCTATTTCCTCACAAACTATTTTCTAAGCTCTTAAAAAGCCTCTTCAAAATGATACGGAAAGGCACCATAGAAAACAATTTCAGCTATTGTTAGCATTCATGTTTGTGTTAACTGGCCTGGTAACTGATATCTTCCCATTACAGACAACCAGCAGCTTCCAGCCTCCATTATTAAGAGCGAAAGCAAGGGAGGGTGTGGGAAGGACAGCAGGCATCTCTGTGATGGATGCAGCTCGGTTTGGCCTGGACTCTGCAGGGTGATTGGATATTGCCTCTGACCAGCATCCTGGTCCTAATCTCCTGCTGTTGGATTTCTGCCTGCAGTTACCTGAAGGAGTTCCGCACAGAGCAGTGTCCTCTTTTCGTGCAGCACAAGTGCACTCAGCACCGGCCCTACACTTGCTTCCACTGGCACTTTGTCAACCAGCGTCGTCGCAGATCTATCCGCCGCCGGGACGGTACATTTAACTACAGCCCTGACATTTACTGTACCAAGTATGACGAGACCACAGGAATCTGCCCAGAAGGAGATGAGTAAGTAAAGACTGCACCCTGCTTTTCAGGCATTAGGCTTTTGGGATCAGTCCAGGTGATGATTCCAGCCAGTTCTTGTAGAGATGAGGCAAGTCAGCAGTAAAGCAGCTTTGTAACATACGTAACATGAGAACAGATGTAAAAACTGTAATAGCAACCCATGTGCTCCAGGCCTGCTGCAGAGATGATACTATGGGTCACTTAGATGGGAATTCGCCTCTTGCATCGTTCACTGTCCTCATGAGCCTTGGCATCTTCAGAAAAGTTGAGGTGGGAAAAACAGCTCACTGACGAATGGGCTCAGAAAGTCCCTGCCTGTCAAATAATAGCTCTTGCTCACTAGCAGGGTAGCTTAGTTTTTAACAGATTGAAGAAAGAGGAGGAGCTTTGTTGTCTAGTCTGCCCCCTGAATTATCTATCCCCAGCTTTTTAAATTGTATCAGTTACTTGCCAGTTTTTGTCTTCCTGAACTTTTAAGAAGCCAGTAGGGAAATGACAGGTACCCAGAATAAGGCAACATGAGGAAGAGTTTGTCTTACTGTGTTTTCTCTCCCTGTGACTGTGGTAAGTTTAACTGGAGCAGAGATGCAAGTGTTTCTGCTGTGCATGTGGCAGACACCAGCAATTAAAGGGTTAACCCAGTAATATAATTTTAGCCACATGACAGATATGGAAGAATAAATAGTGTAGCCAAACTGTGGTCAAATATAGGGAGTGTTTTATTATAGAGATGCTATAGAAAGATGGAATTTCAGCTCCCTTTCACAGTGCCAGTATAAACACACAGAAAAATGCTATTTATTGGGAAAACAATTTTTTTTTTTTATTGCCCGATTAAGTAAAGAACTTGTGACTACAGCAGGATGGAATAATCCCCCAGCCTGAAGCGTCAGTTTCAGTGCTTTCTTCATTGTTAGAAAAGAACTGGAAGGGACTGGAAATAGGATATGTGGGGGCTTTGGCTTCTAGATCACTGGTTCATATCTCGCTCAAACTCTGAATGAAAACTGTTGCCATCTCGGAACTCTGCTGATTTTTAGCTTGATGCTGCAATATCTAAACTTTACCTGTTCCATCTTTGTTCTTTTTTTAGTTCTCAGTGTAGATTATTCTTTTTCTGCCTAAGAGGGGAAACAAAGCATAAGTTAAAATGGTAGTGTTGTAATTCTCCTTTCTTGTCCTGTGCTCTACATAAAGGATGCATCTGGCTATAGATAGACTGTCACAGCCCTGTAGGAGTACATCAGCAGGAAACAGTAACAGCACGAAGTCTAGATGGGCTGCTGAGGAAATGGTATGTGCCATGTGATGTCCCTTCAATCATGGCTAGTATATCAGAACACCTTGACAGTGTCCTTGCTCTCTTCCAGATCCCTGGCAGTCACTAAACTAGAATAATAAACTGCTGCTGGATTAATAATCCAGTCGTCTTTTTGGGAGGGAAACTATTATATACTGAGTAGCGACAGGTTTAGGGGTTCTGTGTAGTGTTGGAAGGTGCACTATAAGAGAAGGGGCAGAGTTAGCAAAGGTGTTAACTGCAGCATCCTGTATTGGCAATATGTGTTCTGGTAGTGTTGAGTCACCTGTGTGACTAAACTTTGTTCTTCCCCTCCTTCTGTACCTTAGGTGTCCCTTCTTGCATAGAACTACTGGAGACACAGAGAGGAGGTATCACTTGCGCTACTACAAAACTGGAATCTGTATTCATGAGACAGACTCCAAGGGAAACTGCACGAAGAATGGAGTCCACTGCGCGTTTGCTCATGGGCCCCATGACCTACGCTCTCCAGTGTATGACATCAGGTTAGTAGAGGTTGGGGCTGTAAATGAAAAAGGTAATTTCTGTACCCAAATGAAAAGTCAGATGATTGAAGGACAGTACTACTTCAGCATGAAATGCTTAGGGTTGGGGTGATGATATATGCATTCCTAATAAGACAAATCTACAAAATCTCCACGGAGGATACTGAAAATGGGGGAAGGGACCACAGTTTAAATGAGTTGTGCTGTGGTTTGGAGTCAGATTGCAGGGGAGGGCCTCAAAATAACGCAGTTGCTGTTCAACTAAAGATGTTCTGACAAAAAAAATGCATGAATGAAATGCACCCGCTTAGGAGTTGTTAACACGCTCCAGTATGTCAGTTCTTATATACATTTATCTATCTCTTCATCTGCTCAGTCTGTATGTTCATTTAACTCTGTCCACAAAGGGAGCTTCAGGCAATGGAGGCTTTGCAGAATGGTCAGACTACATCAGAAGGTGGCATAGAGGGTCAGTCTGCAGTTGCTGCCAGCCATGCTATGATAGAGAAAATACTCAGTGAGGAGCCAAGGTGGCAAGGTGAGTGTCACTTAGGGTCTGTGGGGCTGGGAAAGTCTGGTGTTTGTGGAGTGCCTGCTCCTGTCAAAAGCTGTTGTATAGTAAATATAGATCATGATCTATCTCACACTAACTCGTTGCTTCTTTTGCAGATACAACATATGTGTTGGGAAATTACAAGACAGAACAATGTAAGAAACCCCCCCGTCTCTGTCGCCAGGGTTATGCCTGTCCCTACTACCACAATAGCAAAGACAGAAGAAGAAGCCCAAGAAAACACAAATACAGGTACCGTAGTCCTGGATATTTTATTTCCCAGCTGAGTGGTGAGACGTAGTAGAAATGTGTAACAAAGGATCTAGGATTTTGTCCACTAGATAGCTTTTTAGTGTGTCTCCAAGGCCTGTACTGACAGATGTGATGGACTGTTATTTCTGCCTAGGAGAAGGGTAACAAATTAAACAAGGAGTTTTCCTGTATATAGGAACTCTGATAAATGACTGTTGCTAAATCATGTTACAACTCTGATTTTTATAGCAAACAGAACCTGTGTCTGGCTTGCCCTTACCATATAAACTCCTGCTTTAGAAAGCAGTGCAGGAAAAAGAAAACAAAAGGAAGTTTTAATCCCCATCTAGAAACAAACTCACACAACAGTGTTTTCATGGTAAAGGATTCAGAATCATCAAGCTGCTTGTTGTGTGTGCCTGGTGATGGGAATCGTGAGGCACGGTGTGACCAGTACTGTAGCTGGACATGCATTCCTAACCAACTGCTAAAGACTGTGCTTTTGAGGCACCAGGGTGTTCTCATCACTCAGCTGTCACTGGATTTTTCAGCATGCAGTGTCTCCCTGAACACGTTTCATCCAAGTTATAGGCCCTCATTTCCTCCAACACAACAGAGCTTTTGTTGTGGTCTCAGTGGGGCTTTTCCTTAGTTCCTTTTTGAAAAACATAAGAGCAGACCAGAAAGCCAGGAGAGAAAATACCATGGATGTTCTTGCTTCCCTTCCCCACCCCCAACATTCACAGAAATTTTTGAATTGGCACCGAAGTCCCATATTTAAACAAATAAAAATCAAAGGAACATTAATCCCAACACTTTCAGGAGAAACAGAAACACTAGGCCAGTATTCAGGCAGCAGCTATGTGCTTTCTGCCCCTGCCTGGGCCCTTTGGGAAGGGAAGAGGTGAAACCTTCTCCCCTCCGGATCTCCACTCAGTTCTGTGTTGCTTTCCCCACCCCCAGCTGATGTGGCTGCCTTTCATGCAGGCGGCCGCTGCTGCTGCTGCTGTCTGCTTCCCTCTGCTGTTGTTTGAGGGAATGGTTAAGAGCATGAAGAGCAAGGGAAGTAGGTCACGACAAAAATTCAGAACTGGGAAAAAGAACTGTTCCTGGCTGGGAGAAAGAAAATGGACTTGCCTTTTCCCCAGTAACCTGACTCAGCCCCTTTTCCACATGGCCATACTATAACCCTGGTAACATACCACTGTAAGGGTATTATGTGTTTTAGGATTAGCCAATTAACTTATTAACTTTCTATGAATGTACAGTTCCAAAAGAGAAACCAGACCCAGCATTTCTGACACTAATCACATCAGCTGCTAATATTGTTAAGTTATGTTGGTTCGGGTTGTATTCAGGTTCAGATGGAGAGTTAAGCCATGTTTCTTTCATTGGGAAATTGGAAGGGGAAGAAGATGCAATAGCAGCAGGGTGGGGGCTGGGGAAGCAGCAGCCAGCCAAACAGATTGTACAGCTGAGGGTGGGCAGCCAAACCTGCCTCCTGATGGAGGAAGCAAAGCTCAAAGCACGTTTGTGAGTCTGATGCATTCTCCTGCCACCTTATTTACACAGATCTTCGCCATGTCCCAGTGTGAAACATGGAGATGAGTGGGGAGATCCCAGTAAGTGTGAAAATGGAGACTCATGCCAATACTGCCACACTCGCACAGAACAGCAGTTCCATCCAGAGGTACAGTAACCTGCTCACTCCATTTGGTAGCTGACTAGAAAAGCAAAAGCATTCCAGTCCTGTGAAATAAATTAGTGTGCCAGCTGGGAGAGTATGTGGGCTGCTTGCAGTGTGGTCCTAGGCTATAGAGAAACTGCATGTTGGAAGTAAGCTGAAAATCAGCTGCTTTACAGGGGTCCCTTTTCATTAGGTAGACTGTATGGGAGGAGGTAAGAAAAGTAGGGGAAAACCCAAGTGTAAGAGCAGTCTCATGTATGGGAGTCTTTTTGAAAGCATGATGTGGGTTTGCTGGTAAGCATACAGCATCTGTTTCCTTGAGGAAAAATTCTTGGTTAATGATGAACGCACTAAACCATAGATACTCGTGAACTGGTGCTAAAAAACACCAAGCTTTTAGTTGTGAGCATGCCCAGAGCATTCCAATATCCTTACAGAAATTGTAATTAAGACCTTGTCCTAGTCTGCTTCATGTTACAGTGTTGAAAAGCTTTGTTGAGCCTGTATCGGCAAAGTAACCATTGTCACCGCCTGTCAAACTGGGGGGAAGGGGAATAATCCATTTCCTACAATCATTGTCAATGGTTTGTTATTTTCCTTGCAAACATGTGGCTGTAACTTTCTGTGCGGTCATCTGTCAACTGTTTCCTACCTTTTACTATTTGTAATATCCATGGAGCTTCCAGTGAGACTGAGAGACTTTATGGCAAATGATGACCTTTGGGTGAGCTGATGTGTGATGGGTTGATCTTTGGGTGAGCTCTAGCTGTGATGGGCATAGTCTGGTGTTTCCATAACTATAGCAGGTTTTCTTTACTTGGAAGCAAAGCACTGAAATGGTCACCCTGAACTCTGCTGGCCTTTGCGCCTCTTATCTGTGTTCCTGTCTTGCTGTCGAGTCTCTCCGTAGTACTTTTGTACCTGGGCTGCCGGTCACTGTTTTTTTTCCTATTCATGTCTGGTTTTTTTGTTTTTTGTTTTTTTTTTTTTTCTCCCATCCTTAGATCTACAAATCCACCAAATGCAATGATATGCAGCAGTCTGGCAGCTGTCCCCGAGGACCCTTCTGTGCCTTTGCACATGTAGAACGTACGTGGGCTGCTTCTCTCGTCTTTCATCGATATTTGAGCTATGGAGAGCTTCTGGCCAAAATAGATAGTCTAAAATATAGGGCTGCTAAACTAGAGCTTCTGTGAAGGATTTTCAAAACCAAAGTATTAATTTTGATAATTCCTGTAAAACTGTGCTAGTGTGGGAGGTGTTGGCAGAGCTGAAGGCAGTAGGTAGTCTGTAGGACTCAGCCCTTAGCTCTCAACTGCACTGTCTCTTGAAGTATCTCCCTCTGTTCCCTCTTGCTTGCTCAGTGTAGGAGGATGGAAACAGAGAAAGCTGCTTCTCTGTACATGGATGAACTGTACCTAGCTAAATTGTGAAGTTTTGTATTTTAAAAAGCTGAGGATAAAATTGCTAATTTTAGATAATATATTGATCAGTTTTAAAAATTAAATACTATTTTACTATTTAAGAAGTTTTACTTAGAGTTTGATTCTTTAAGTTAGGTTGGAGAAGAAAAATATGCAGCTTTTTTGTCTGCTTTTCCTCAGATTGTCTTTTTCTCAATAGCTCCCTGATTTATGGGGCATTATTTCAATCCTCACTTTCATCAGATGTAAACTAATGATGCTGTTTTGGTTGTGGGAGTTCTATATTCAGGTGGGTACTAACATTCATAGATAAATGGTTAGCTCCTGGTCCCATGGCTCCTACTCAGTTTCTGTACTCCAGTCTCACTGTTGAATTTGCAGCAATTAGAGCAGGTTACTCAGAATTCAATGGATTGGCTCTGATACTGGTCACTACATGACCTTGAGCAAATCTCTTTGATATTTGATTATCCTTTGTAAATAGTAGAATTAGTAACTGCTGCCTTTGTCAAGGAATGGTGAGAGTAAATTCTCTACAGGTTATGCAGTTCCTTTTATAGGAAGCCTTGTCAACAAGCAGTAGTTATAGCTAGAGCTGTGGGCTATAATGGCCCAAAACACAGTGATGCAACTACACAGTATGATCCAACAAGCTGAAGAGAGAATGAAATCTTGATAAAGAAACAGTGTTTAGCAAACTCCCTTGTGTATAACATAATATTTTTGTTTAGGAGATGCCTTATTCCTAACAAGGTTACTGCACTTGATACTATACTGCTTTAAAGCCAGAGTAACATTCTGTGGCACTTGGGTCATTCCAACGGGATTACTTCTTGTGCTGTCTTACGGAATTGTAGCTTTTAGTCCTTTCTTAGCAAGGTGAACACTGAGGGCCTAATTAAATTAAAATAACAGGAGACCATTTATCGTATCTGCTCTTAGCTTGAGTTTTGCTGATTATTAGCAAGAAATGTGTTGAAACCAATACTTTAAAGATATTGTGATACAGGCATAGTGTCAGTTATATGGTTTTTGTAAAGATGCTGAGTTGTGTTAGATGTAAATACTACAAGTCTACAGCATCTCCACTTTACCTTTCAAGCCAATGACACTTTCTTTTTGTGTATGCCTTTCTATGTACGTTACTTTTTTTTATAATGGTTTGTACTGAGCACAGATGGAAACTTATCTCCCTCAGCTGATTATAATGCACCCATCAACTTTGTGCCTAGCAATGAAGGAAGCTCTGCTTAGTTCAAGACAGCTGAATGAATAACACGCAATTCATGCAGGGAAGATAATTTTGGAGCAGTGTTAATGGACTAAAGAGCAGCACAGTGTACAAGTGATGACAGTAACAATGTAAGGAATATTAGATAAGTAGTAGCCGTTTGCCAGATAAGGTTTCTTCTTGCTTCTATACTTACAAGTAGGGGCTTGTGGAATATTTCTTGTCAAGAATATCTAGGTGTTCTTGTTCCTAAATGTCTTGTGGTCTGTTGCAATTGTACGGCTTTGAGTAACATTCTATGTGCTTTTATTTCTTCCAGAGCCTGCGCTCAGTGAAGACTTACAGCAATCCTCGGCTGTGTCTAGCCCGACACAGACAGGCCCTGTGATGTATATGCCATCGGCAGCTGGTGATTCTGTTCCAGTCAGCCCTTCCAGTCCACATGCCCCAGACCTTAGCAATGTATGTAGCACTGTGGAGAAGCCTTGTCTATATTTTATAAATTTGGGTTTCTCTTTGTCACTGTACTTCTTTCTCCCAAGAAGAGAAATCTTAATTATCCAAAAGCCCAAAGGATATAACATTTTTTTTTTTACATCTCAGCTCCACATTTTTCAGAGGGGATCTATTTGCTTGGAACATACTAAAGACACTGAATTGTATTGTCCTCTCATCTAGAAAATTTCTAAGCCTTCCCTTCTGTGCAGAGTTTGTTGATGTACTTTCAGGAAAGTGGAATATATCCGCACATGAAGTCCAACTCCTTCCTGTCTGGAGGTACATATTGGGCTTAGTTTCCAAGTACTCTCATTAAAGGCTGTGAGCCAATAACGTCTAAAGTACATAACTACAATCGAGTTTGTTTACATATGTAATCTCAGAGGCTTAGCCTGTGCATATTGTGTGTTGCATTGTAGGATATCCTTGATTCCCTCCCTCTCCTACTTCTGGAGATAGTTAAACTCTGGAATATGTTTGAGAAATGCCCCAAATTGTTGGTAGTACTTTATTTTTAGTTGAACATACAAGAAGGGAGATCTTTAAATGCTGAAGAGATACACGCAGACATATAAGACGACCATGGAATGCTAGACCACTTCACTTTTGCTGAGATTTTTTTTTTGTCCATTAAGTCTGTCTTGTTTGCACTACTGTTGATAAGGTGTGCAACCTTTTCAAGTGGTTGGTCGAGGTTTCAAGAAGGTAAAATGACATGAGTTTAACTCATTTGAAACTGGTCAGAATGAGGTGAACTCATTTAGGACCTCTATTTGATCTTATTCCCCCTCTTTGAAAAGAGAAGCTGATAGTTTTATTTTATTAGTGCCAAAGCCAACCTAACAGTTCATAGTTCTCCTGAATTTGATTGCAGCTAGAATTCCAAACAGATCTTGAGAAGTCTGGACATAATATTTTCTCTCACTAACACTGTGGAAAGCAGTAAAAAACAAACCCCTTTCATCTTATGAATGTATCATCTAAATTCTCTGGAAACTGCAGTGAAATTGAAGGTATCTTCCACTTAATAGACCATTTAGGTCTTTTCTATCTCAAGCTCTTAGTCTTTTAAACAGTCTTTCCTAATCCTTGGATGTATGCCAAACAGCAACACATGTCTTTCTGTGACTTCATCACTCCACAGGGCATCTGCATGTAGCTTGCAAACAAATATGGCTTTGCTGGTGATCATTTTACATGATGAATTAATCAGAGAAAAAGGTCCCTCTAGCAGCCAGCCTCACATGGCCTGTTCTGTTTTGTATTTGTACTGTAGGTGTGGAATAAATCAGGAACTCTGCCAACTAGCCCCACCTCCACCACAGTGAGTAGTATCTTTGCGACTGTAGGGAAACATGGACAGCAGAATGTCGTATAAAAATAAAATCAAAACATTGTAGGATGTTCCTTCTTTCTAATGCCAGCCCAGACTGTGCCACATTTGAACCTGTGGTAGCAGTAGCTGTCTAAATGATGTCTGAAGCACAGTCATGCTTGCCAGTGCTGGCAAATAATTTCTTGTCCCAGAGAAATGGGGTATCTGCATTGATCCAGGTAGGCGCTTTCTCTGAAACTCATCTTAATCTCCTTTGCTGCTGTCTGTGGCTTCATCTACAGTGCAAAACTAGCCTTGTTGCATGTGATTGTGATCCCTGGTATTAGTCTAAAGAATGGAACTGTTGGAAATCCTTGGGTTTTTTAATGCAGCTGTTGATACTTGGCTTGTGCCTGCATTAAAACTTTCAGATTTCCAACTGGAAAGCAAAAGATATAGTATTACACGTAGCTCAGATATGGTTGGTTGTTCTGACTGCCATAGCACCTTTCTGGGCTTCACACTACTACTCAGAGTGCAGACAGGATCCACTGTGGCCTAAGGAAAGTGAAGAGAGTTTTGGTCAGGTTTGGAAACTTGATCAGTCACATCTGAGGCCTCAAAAAGAATAAACATCACTAGAGCTGCAGTTTGTTTTTTAGAAGACTGCACTCCAGTACGAAGTAATGACAATAAAACCATAATTGTGGGACTATAAATCCAGTATCTACTGGAGCTTTTTCCTGGTTTTTAATTACTGTTTATTGGAAGCTTGTATGCTTGTGTTGACTGTCAGACTGGGATGCCTCTCTCCTCTTCGAGTTATTACTACTGGCTAGCTGTACTTTCCTGACACTTGTTCCTTCTATTAGATTCTTTGTAGGAACAGCAGTCTCGGAAGCCCATCTAATATATGTGGGTCTCCTCCTGGTGCCATTGGAAAGCCACACGGCTTGGAGACCATTGGTTTTCCTCCAGACTCAGTAACAGCAGCCGGCAGCTACAAGAAAGCACCGGGGTTTGAGCGAGAAGATCAGGTGGGGGCCGAGTATTTGAAGAGTTTCAAATGCCAGGTTAGTAGGGAATATTGGCTGGAAGAGTTGGGGGGATGAGGAAGAATGAGAAATTGCCTAGTCTAGCTTGAATGTATTTTTATTTTTCAAGGAACAGAAGTGAGAAAGCACTATTCTCATTAGCAGTTCTCAGATCTCTGCTGTTGCTTTCAGCCTCCCTTCCAGTCTCTTCCATCTTACATCTGTTCTTGTCTGCCTAGCTGCCATCACACGCTCAGTTTGTAGAAGTCGAGCTGCTGCTTGTTTTCCTAATCCCTCACAACTTCTGTCCTGTGTTGACCCTGACTAGCTTCCCACATATCACTTTTGCTCTTTCTTTTTCCTTATTTAGGTCCTTGCCAGAAGTTGCTGTTTCTCTTGCTGTATTGTCTCATGGAAACTCATCCTTCCTTCTCTGTTCTCACTCCGAACTCTTACCTTGATCTCCGTGACTTGGTTTGTCCTCTGTTTTCACCATTCATTTCTCCGGTGTATTAAAAATGTCATGTTAGTTCTCTCTTGCTTCTCTGGCTTTATCATTCTGATCCTTGACTCTCTCCCGTGGCTTCTGTATTAAATTTGAATTCCTCATTCTCATTTGAAGAACCCTCTGCAATCTTACCCAACCCACATCTCTAATGACATTCCCTCTTATCCCTTTTGGATATCCCAGTCTTGCCTTGCTGCTTCCTCAGTCTTCTTCTTCTTGGTGTCATGCCTTATTCAGACTGCTCCCTAAGCCTAGAACAGTCTCTTCCATCTCTTCTGCCACACATGAGCTTTTCCACAGTCAACTTCTTGCTGTGAATTTCCTTTCTTGATGTTGCAATTAATAGGTTCTCTGCACCATGCCTTTCAAGTCAGCTGAGTCCAACCCAGAGCCTGGGTCTCAGTTTTTATTCCTCACTGGGTTTGTAAATGTAATAGAACAACATCTCAATTTAGGGGAAGAAATAGCTACTTTTATGAAGAGGTGCCTGCAAAAATATTTCCTGCAAATTCTTTAAAAAAAAAAAAAAAAAAAGAAAGAAAGAAATAAAAATACTTGGTCTAGGTTGCTTGAAAACAGAGATGACAAGAAGTGCTGCTTTCAACCTGGCTACATTTTAACTCTTGTCTGTAATATTGAACAAGCTAGCCTTAATAAGCTTATACTGCTTCATTAGTATTGCACTGCTGTGAGAAAACAGTGGAAATATCCCGTCCAGACAAGATCTTGCATAAAGTAGTTGGACTTAGAAGCAGACTCTGTGGGTTGTATTTATTTTTACAACTTTGGGAAAATATGACCAAACTTTGCAGTAGGACAAGTCTTGAACACTGTTTAGTCTAATTAAAATGATTTAGTGACAAATACAGATTAAGCTATATGCATGTGCTCTTTCTTATAAATGCTTCCATTGTCTTGCTTAATGTGGATGCGGCTTAGGAAATTGCAAATTGATGCAACGCGTCTTTGGGGGTAGAGAGCAGACCATGCTGTGATCCTGGCACTTCTTGCGGGCACAGCAGCTTGTAGCAGTTGTTTAGAAACAAAAGAAAAAACATGTGCTCGTTCTCTGTTGCCTCTGCTGCAAAGGAGGAGTGAACCCAAAGCTGAAGGACTGAGAGAACCCCTGTTTCCTGCCAGCAGAGGCAGGTTGCCAGGGAGGCCCTGCTTTGGAGAAAATGGGCAGCAAGCCTAAGCCAGGGGAAAGGGGATGGAGGATGAATAGGACTCTTAAAAGGAGGGCCAGATGATGAGCATTTGTGTCTGAAGTCCAGGCTGTGCTACAAAGATACTGTATTCAGGTAGCTTCTTACTTATGTGGCTTTAATTAAGCAAAAACCTGTGTTAAATGACTGGAATAAATAGCTATTAAGATATAGACGGAAGTAATCACAGTTGCCTTACGCTAGGCTTCTACAGACAAAATTAGGTGTCTCATAAGTGTCCTGATTTAATTTTCTTTTAATCTATAATTACATACTCTTAAAAATCCTCTGTAATTCCCTTTGGCTGCAGTGGGCACCAGAGATTCTCATATACCCTGTAAATTAGACTAATAATTAGGCATTTACCTTTGTTCAGTCATATTTGAAGACTTAAGAGACACTCTGGCTCAGCTCTGCAATAGGCTTGTCATTTTTCCTCTGTAGAACTAGTACAAATAGTTTCTATCTTATTAGAATGAAAAATGCACCTTCTGTGTTAATAGGTTCCACATAGTTTGTGGTAAGGCTGAGCCAGCAGTTAAAGCTAAAAATACTTTTCCTGAGTCCCGAAAGATTTAGCAAGCTGGAAAAATGCTGGCTGCACTGGAAGGACTTGAGTGTCACGACCAGGAGGTGTTCCTAAGTCCTGACACACAGTACAGTGGGTTTGTTCCATGCTGGTCAGAAAACATTCAGTTTCACTTGTAAATTATGTCCCCTGTTTTCTTCCCTGACTGCAACAGAGTGAGCTGGAGAATTTCAGCCTGCCCTTTGAATTTCTGTCTTGATGTATGCCCTTTTTAACATTATTCAGAGCTAAAGGAGACTGGCTTAGAGGTGACAGTCAGTTTGCTCCAGTTTTCACTGGTGTTATATGAATTCAAGGCAGTGGGAATTGGGACTAGCTTAGAAATTTGTTCACTTTTTCTCCTCCTTAAAGAAAAAAAACCTTCCAGTAAGACTTAACTGCACCAGAACCAGCTAGCTACATTGGCAGGAAGCCTCTCGGGGGGGCGGGGGGGGCATGGTTGTGTATGTCCCTTCACTTTAGCTGCTGATGTCTGTTGATAGCACATCTTGTGTTCAGATGAGTGTCAAACAGGGTAGGGATGTGTTGGATAATGTAGCAGGCGTGTTATCAGACACACACAGATGCACTAACGTAATGCCTCTACTGCACACAAAGGAAAACAAGCCTGATTGGTTCAGTGGTAGTTTTGCTGTATGTAAATGCACTGTATGTTGTTCAGGGAAGTGTGAGAGAATGGTACCTACCACAGAAGGATCTTTGCATCCATATCTCAGCTGCCTGTTTGCCAGGCTTTGACCTTCCCATCTGGCCATAGGCGTACGGCTGAGCAGAGAAAATGATTTAATTAAGTAAAACCAAGTGATGAATTCTTCTGCTGCTCTTTCGCCTGTCTGATTATGTCATCCCTCTCCAGCAATCATTTATCTTTTTCATAAGACTGTTTAAGCCAAAAAGTCAAGACGTATCACTTCAAGTCAGTGTGGCATCTCATGCGCTGCTGTTGTAAATCATGCCTGAATCTCCCCTGTAGAGATGGTGACTGCCTGCATTTGCGATAAAAAAAAAACGATTGAGCAGATTTTGTGCCTGGAATATGTCTCTGATTCGGACTGGGGAGTTGGAGAGTGAGTAAACAAGCAGCCCTGACTCTCAGCACTTTTTTGCTGCCTCTCTGTGCCCGGAGGGTGTGATTGATCTCCCTGTGCCTTATGCATGTAGCAGCATGGGAGGAGCAGAGCAAGGCCTGCAGAACAGACCGTTACATGCTGACACGCTCATGAGGCCACTTCCTTCCCTGCTCTGGTTATTGTAGCTCAGAATTGACTGATGTTGTGAGGCAAGAGGGTTGATTTCCGTTAAGGATATAGTGCTGGAAGGTCCTTAAGCTAAATTTTTAGACTGGATAGTGGAATTCTAAATGTATGTTGGCATTCATGCAGTTTTGTAATTCAGGCAGCCTTGACCTCACTTATGTTTTATAGCTTTGAGTTCTCTATGTTAATGGATGGGGGAAGGATTTTTTAAAAAATCAGTTTTGATGATGTTGCTTTTAAAATTGGTTAGTTATCACCAAGTTTTACTTTGCAATCCTAGCTGGGAGTTGGAAGAGTTTGAGGGAAAACACAATCTACGTACTTTATTTTCCCAAAGCTGAAAAATGTTTACATAATTTAAGAATATAGTGTGCCTCCCACCATTTCTGGCCCTATTTTAGATACTAGTAGGACTGATGAGTTATTTATAGCAAGGCAAAATAATTAATTTTTGGCCTTCATTCTTAAGATGTCCTTTGTACCAGCAGAGGACTTACAGCAGCATTGAAGGCAAGTGTAATTGTGATGAGTCTTTGCATAACTCTAGAGGTGATGTCTTGGTATATAGAAAGCAAATTACTTACTGTTTTCAGTTTGCTATGCTTTCCCACTTTCCCAATTCTCTAGTGCTCAGAGCAGGCTGTAAGGGAGGAGGGGAGTGTGTTTCCCATGGCCTCTGCAAAGCCAGCAGTCAGCCATTTTTAATTTTGCTGCTAATCCCTCTGTTTATCTTTTGTTCTGTTTCTTTACTGCAGCAAGCAAAAATGAAGTCCCACTCACTGGAACACAGGAGCCAGGAGCAACCTTTGTTACAGCCCAAACAGGTACAGTACTGCTAGCAGGCCTCTGAACCGAGCTCAGTGCTTGCACCACCACAGACAAGGACATGAGAAATCTCTGCAGATCCAGACAACTCTGCAGGGAGTAAATGACAGTCCAGACACCATTAGGGATGCTCAGCTTGAGGGATTACTTTATGAAGATGGGATGATTTGCTGGAGGTGTTATTTGTGAATGGCTAGACCTGTGTGAATTCAGGATAGATTCATAGGCTTGGACTGTGCTGGAGAGAGTCTCCAAATTACAGAAAATTGAGCCGGAATGGATCTCTGGAGTCATCTAAGTTCAAGGATTCGGCAAAGAGAATTTAATATCGGGTTCTAAGTCGTGTGCTGAACTAAGTCTGAGTGAGTGATTGTGTGACCCATCCCTGTGATTGCATGCAACCTGTGGGTCACAGGAGTTAATTCTGGGGCAGCCTGAAGGATGTTTGTAATGCTGGGGGGGGGCAGGGGACAGGGAGACAGAACAGAGAACAGTCGGCAGAAATTAAAGAAAAGCTGTTAATCTCTCCCCCACCCCCCAGCCCAGTAGTAGCACCAGCCATCTGTCAGGTTGGAAGCAGGCAGGAACAGGTTTGCTACTGATCTTTGGCTCATTCCTGCATGTTTCTGAAGGGATTCTTCTATAAAGATGTCTTATTTCCTACCTCTTTCCCTTTTAAAATTCTTGTTTCAGGACATACTGGGTATTCTCCCAGTGGGAAGCCCGCTGACATCCAGCATCTCCTCTAGTATCACCTCCAGTCTGGCTGCAACGCCACCAAGCCCGGCCGGCACCAGCAGCATACCAGGCATGAATGCCAATGCCCTTCCTTTCTATCCAACCAGTGACACCGTTGAGTCTGTCATAGGTAACTTTGCCTTTTTTACTTATTCTAGTAGGGCTTCCTCAGACGTGGATCACCAGGTATGAGAATTGGAATAGCATGGGTGTTCCAGCAAACTCCAGTTTTTCGTCTCTGTCAGTGTTGGCAGATTCCTGAGGCTGTAAGCTTTTTCTGTGACTGTGACACATCTGATGTTTTCTGCAGGTCATTATGGATGAAATTCACCCACGGGACCAACAGAAGGCCTCTGAGCCGCTTACTCAGAATGTCAGATGGTGTAACGGGCCTTAGTTTTAGGTTTGTCAAAGTGACAAAGAGGTCTTGGAGTAGGCAGGAAATCACAGGGGCATTTTCCACAGTTACAACCCCTTATATTCTAAATGACAATTTTATAGTGAGGGCTGCCACCAGGTAGATTGTAAGGACTTGCTGTTCATATAGTGTAGGACAGAGGCTGTAAGAAAAAGGAGAATGGGAGAGTCCAGAGAGTGGAATCACTCCTCTTAGATAGGTACAGGTTTTTGGTCACCTGTTTTTTTTTTTTTTTTTTTTTTTTTTTTTTTTTTTTTTAATCTAACGTTTTTGAGGTGATCTCACTAATTTGTTAAAAATAATAATAGAAATGAGTGGGCATGTGTGGGATGGAATTATATTGATCATGATTAGGGATGAGGCATGTTCAAATAGATATAACATTTGCAGGCATTCATAAGCTTTCTTTATTTTACCCTATCTTTGAACCTCAGAGATGTTTTTCAAGTGTTCCCTTCTACTGGTATTTCTTTGAGTGGCTCTTCACCAAAGTATGGATAAAGCACAAACCAGACACAGACATGTTATAAGCCAGTGTTACTGCGTATTATGGACAGACTTGAAGGCACAGTTTGGGGAAGACTTATGGGAACTGCTGTTATTTCATCAAATTTTTGTTTTCCTATAACATTTGGGAATACTTTGAGACAAAAAGAAATCAGATCAGGCAAAAGAACCTGAACTGAAAAGCTGCCCATGACACTTCTGCCAAACCATTTAAGAACAGTGTTGCACAGGGCGGAGAGTAGGGCCGTGCAGACTGACAAATAGAGAGCGAAGGCTCCTCTGCATGTAGGCTCTTTGGGCCATCCTATCTCTTGAAGTTGTTGGTCCTTTATAACATAATTGGTACCTCTGTGTCTGGCAGAGTCTGCCTTGGATGACCTGGACCTGAATGAATTCGGAGTGGCTGCCCTGGAGAAGACATTTGACAGCAGCACAGTGCCCCACACGAGTGGCATCATGATAGGTACATGAAAGCAACAGAGCTTTCTTTATCTTCTGCCAAGCAGTGTTGCCCAGTCACCTCAGTGGAGCCAGCCCAACAAAGTTCTAAATCCAGTTCCAAAATAACTTTGGTTAAAATGGCAATTATAACAAACTCTGGCAACTGCTGAGCATCTTTGAAGTGAAAGCTTGCCCTTATTAACTAGCAGAGCTGAGTTCTTGCCATTGGGCCCAGGTGTCTTGGGGATGTTTCTTGAGACTGAATGGGACTTGCTTGATTTTTTTTTTTAATTTTTTTTTTTAAGTGTGCAAGTAGACTCTAGAAGGCAACTGATACCTTTAAAAACAGGCCAAAGTATAACTATTTGCATCTTAAGCAGAAGACTCTCCCTAGCAGTAGCAGGAAACTCACTGACCTGGTAATGCTATCCATCTGTCACAGAGTGTCATCATGGTCTGCTGATTTGATTCTTGTAATGTCTGTCTTATCTTAATATGTGGAGGTAGGCTAAGGCCTCTTCTACCTGTCTCTGAGTGTTAAGGGGAAAATGAAGTGTCTCGGAACTTTTTAGAAGTGGTTGTAGTTTCTGGCTGTGTAAGACAGGTTTTTGAATGGGAGCAAACTTTGGTTGTCTGAAGGTTTCCAAGGGAACTACACTACCTGGAGCTGTATTGAGGTAGTAAGGCACCTGTGGAAGGAACCCTAAAGAATATCACTTCCACTTCCATGCCAAAGATGAGAGCCTGGTTGGAGAGTTTACTGTGCATGTCTGCTGATAGCCCTGCTTCTGCCGTTACCCATCTGCAGTGGCTTAGAGATCCTCCACACTGCTTTTCCCTCTGTTCACGTCAGGTCTGGGTGTTACCTGGTGATCTTCTAAGGAGGGAGATCAGGAGAGAGTGGGGAGCAGGGATGAGCTCTCCCTCAATGTGTGTGTGACAGGCAGAATGAGCTCTTATGTAATGGAAGTGTGATGTCTTTGGAGGCTGGGCTTTTGTTTATTTGGGGTTTTTTATTACTGATAGATCCAGGCACTCAAGTATGTCTGAAGTGACTAAAGCTAGTCACTGATTTTTAGTGGTTAAGATAATGACCTGACGCAGCATGATAGTCTTCTCGCTACAGGTTGTTTGGAAGTATCAAAGGCAGAGGCACATGTTTTAGAAGTGAATTTTTCATTACAAAGTATTTAACCAGATACCAAATTCATCTTCTGTAGACTGATAGGGACTGAACTCTGCTCAGAAAACCTTTTGTTGCTTTGGCCGATGAAAGAGTATTCCATTGAACTCTGGAGGGTCTTAACCTATGTGGTTCATGGGATGGCAGCTTCAGTGCTCCTTATAAAGGCTGAGAGGGGAATGAAACATGATGAGAAGCAGAGGGAATCCCAAGGGGCTTAGGGAGGAGAAAGGGAACCTAACACCTTCTGCTCTGAACTCCTGCACTGTGCCCATACTTCACAGTCATACATAGCCATCCTCTCTGTGTGTTCTTTGTCCAGGTGGGAGTTTGCTGCAAAGTTCTGCTCCTGTAAATATCCCTGGGTCCCTTGGAAGCTCTGCCTCCTTTCACTCTGCCTCTCCTTCTCCACCGGTCAGCCTCTCATCGCATTTCCTTCATCAGCCCCAGGGACACTTAAGCCAATCAGAAAACACGTTCCTGGGGACGTCAGCTTCTCATGGATCATTAGGTAAATGCACAGTGTGTGTGTCCCATGTACATGCCTGTCTGTGCCATGTAAGTATTTTCTTTTAAGTTAGCTTTAATTTTAATGTATTATTTCACTGCTGCCGTTTGTATCTCTTCTTCCCATGAGAACAGCAAGAGTACTAGAAGCTGCTTTGCCAAAAATTGGCTAATAACTTGTGTACAAGGGAGCAATTCCCTCTGCTTCCCATGTATCTAAGCACAGGAAAAGGGACAGATAGGTTAAGTGACTTGCTCTGATGATGCCTTTCAGTGTAAAGAGCTCTGCCTTTTCCTGCCACCAATACTGTGCGGAGACTTCACTTTACATAGAACTCAAGAGTTGGGTCCTCGGCTTTGCTTAGTTATGGTGGGGATTGCTGTTTGCCCTTGGGACTGCTTGTAGGTCAGATTGGCTTCTGGGAGGTCTAGAGCAGGCTAGGGTCATTGTACTTATCACTCCTATTTGGCATTCTGCATGCAGTTTTGCAGTATGGACTTTGCAAAAAGTTAGTGTTCCAGCTTTGTCCCCTTTGCTCCTTTCCTCACCCTGCCTTGAGGATCTGTTTCCTGTATGAGGGACTGTGAAGGGAAGAGAAATTGCTTTGGAGCTTCAGCTGTATCAGGCAGAACTGGGAACTGAGGGGCCAATCTGTTTTTTTATCAAGATGCAAGGTTACCTTGAGAAATAAAACTGTTTGGGCTCAAGGCTACAGTGACACTCACTCTGCTCATTTCTGTTAGTAACAGTAAATATTAGTTCTCTCTATTGATACTAGGCATAAATGCTTCTTCAAATTTGAGATATGCTTTAATCTTGAATATTCAGCTTAACCTAATAAAATTATTACATGCTTTTGTAACCTATTCTGCATGCACTCACCTGTGTAAATGCATCCCTTGTTTGCATAGGCCAAAACCATGCTTCCATGCCTTGCGATTGCTATTTGTTTGGCTTTAACAGCTTTTACAATTACTCTAATAAGAGACATCAGAGGGCATCTCTGCTATTAATTAGTGTTGAGGCTGGCTGTTCATCCCAGTTTCAATAAGAAAAGGAAAACTTGCTGATAAAGCCTGCTTTTAATTTCTGAAGAAACAAGTCAGGCAGTTACATTTGTCTTGACTATGTAGTTATACAAATAAAAAACTGAAGAAATGCAGGAAATTCACAAATACATTTAAATACTTGATTTTTAAGAAAAAAGTCAGATATTTTCCTTTAATACAACAAAACCATTTTTGCTGAGGTTTTGGTAAGGTATTTAAATAGTAATCTAGCAATTGGGAATCTGGAATCTATCTATTCCATGGGACTTGCTGAATGCACATAAGTTAGTGTGTAGTGTGTGTAGTTATTACTTATTTGTATTGCAATTGAGTTAAAAATACCTAGTTCTGGGCTAGTTCCCACTGTGCTAGATGCAAAATGTGCAGAGAAGGCATTCCTGACCAAAAGGGCTTGCTTCTTCAAATGTGAAATGAGAACAGCAGGTGGAAAGAGGGAGTAAAAAGAAATGACGAGATAAGCTTGGTCAGCATTATGGCAGAATTTGTGGCTTGCCAGGATCCTGCTTAGTGCTAGATTCCCTTTCAAGGAAACTGGAGCTTTAAAAACAAAATGTAAGTTTAGGTTCAGAGGAGCTGAAATAGATCGATGGTAAGTGGCCTGAGCCAGTGAAGAGCCCTTGTTGCTCTGCTAAATGACTTGTAAATGCACCTAAGCCCTTAGTGAAGACAAGTTACTATTTCTCAGCTGTATTTTTTTGCAGCTGTTTGTGTCTTCGCTGGCACTAAATGGGAAGTAAGTGGTGTTGGGTTAGCCCTCAGTCAGAGGCCATTGGCCCCAGCGCTTGCTTGCAGAACACAGTCAGTTTGGCTGCTGTAAGTTGAATTATCAAATGTAACTGGATTTAGGAATGTCCACACCCAGTGTTGAGCACCACTAAATGAAAATGACTGCTACATCAAACTGGTGCATGTCTGTGTGCCAAAGAGTCCACTTCACTCAATAGCTCTGTCTCGATATGAGCTTTTCCTACTAGTCCTCCCCTGAGTGCAAAGTGTGGATGCTTATTTGAAGTAAAAATATTTTTGTTATTAAAAAAGTACAAACCTTGGAGTCTGTGAAAAATAGCCAGGTTTGTTTACAACTGGTTTGCTACTGCTTTGTCTCCTAAGCCTTGAATTTCTTCCTGAAAGGAGAAATTATTTGAACAAGCTAAAATAGGGAAGTGGTTAGTTAGTCTTCTCTGGTGCCAATCACTAGTTTTATGCTAGATCACTGCAGGGGATGAAGCTGCTGTATATACTATCACCTCCACTTGTTTATAAACAGGGTTTTCTAGTTAGTGCTGTTTCTTGCATATGCAAACAGTAATGACACTGGTGCATTTTAGTCTCACTGTTTGGGAAGTGAGACTGCTTTTCTAAGCACTAAGCTGAGGAGACAAAACCAGAAGTTTTTCTTGGGGTATAGTGTGAGGGGAAGCACCACCTGGGTTGGCTGTGTGAACCAATCTGTTCACCAGTGCTGATGGATGTGCTGCACAGGAAAGTGGGAAGGTAGTAAGCAGTTCAGAGGTTGTCATTTGAGAAGGGGGATTCAAGCTGATAGTCAGCTCTGCTCTAAAAGCTGGTAGTCAGCTCTGCTCTAAAATCAATGCTTCTAAAACCAGCCTGGTTCAAAAGTTGCCTCCACTCAGTTTCTTGGGTCCTCCCTGTATCATTAAAGATGAGGCCTAATGGTGTGAGACTTCCCTATAAAGTCCCTCTTTGATGGACTCCTGGGTCCTGGGGATGAAAGTAGTTCTTAAGGTGATCTTTTTTTTCCTATGTACATATTTCTGAATCCTGGATTTCACAGGGGTAGGGAGGAAGTGGGGAAGTTGCCAGCACCTGTGACATAACCCTCTCTATTTCCCTGTGAAACAGGTTTAAATGGGATGAACAGCAGCATATGGGAACACTTTGCTTCGGGGAGTTTTTCGCCCAGTACCTCACCTGCATTTCTGTCAGGTCCAGGTGCTGCGGAGCTGGCACGGCTACGACAAGAACTGGATGAAGCCAACGGCACAATAAAGCAGTGGGAAGAGTCTTGGAAACAAGCCAAACAGGTACTTGAGCAACTCCTGGGAAGAGGGATTAGGGAGTGTAAAGGAGGAGGGTGTCAGCCTTTAAAGAGAAGCTTTTCATACACTGAGGTGATGGGAAGAGCTGTAGGTTTTACAAACAGATTCTCCTAAGCATTCTTATTCTTTCTTCTGCCTTGGAAGGAGAGACTGAATCACTGTGCCTGATGTGTTCAGATGCTGGACGCGCAAGGCCAGGTGTCATAACAGATGCACTGAAGTGCTTGACAGTCTCTTAGACCTGCCAGTTGACTTAGGTCCATGACAATTTGCTAGTATGCAAATTTCATACCCTTAACGGTGTGACCCAAATATCTAGAACCACGGCCCAACCAGATGGGGTATCTGGAATGGAAATGCTTTGAAGCAAAGCTCCAGGGAAGTTTCAGAATTTGGAAACAGAGCAGATTGGACAGAACACACTCCTGGTGAGGAGTATATGGAAATAGATTTTTTTTTTTTTTTTTTTTTGCCTGGGATCCTCTCTTGGAGGCTGACTGAGTTTTCAGGCTGCTTCTTTTACCCTCTTTGTTGGAACTCGCAGGCTTGTGATGCTTGGAAAAAGGAGGCAGAGGAAGCAAATGATCGCGCCAACACAGCTAACATGGAATGTGAACTGGCCCGGGAGCAGAGGGAAGCATTGGAGCTGCAAGTGAAGAAGCTGCAGGAGGAGCTGGAGAGGATCCACACAGGCCAGGACCCTCAGTTTCTGCGCTCCTTCTCTGACCTGGAAACACTCTCTCTCTCTTCGCTTTACACCCTTCAGAAACAGCTGCGGGCCAACCTGGAGAAAGTTGATAAGGTGAGTGCCAGGGATTTGCAGGGCAGGGCTTTGCTCCTCTGCTCCTACAGATCACAGCTTTTTTCGCTTTTCTTTAATACAGCCAGAAATCAGAAGCCTATCAAAGCAATTCCATGTGGATGTAGCCAAAGTGAGTTTTAGCCAGCTCACAGGAAAATACCTACATCTTCTTTGTGCGTAAAGTACAGAGTTTAAGTCAATCAAAGCTGCTCTCTTGATCCTAAAGGTCCTGAAAGACATCATGCTGTGCTGCTTTGCTTTTGCTTCAGAAGATGAATGGGCAGACAGCTGCAAGTCCTTCCCCTGCTGCCTCCTTGCTGTTCCCAAAACTGCATAGCACAGGACGGCAGCCCCTTTGCTTCATGACTTTGATGCTTATGTTTTGCCCTGTCCCCCTCTCTTGCAGGCGGTATTTCAGATGCAGTCAGTGAAATGCCTTAAGTGTCAGGAGGAGAACCGGGTGGTGTTACCGTGCCAACACGCAGTGCTGTGTGAAACGTGCGCCGAGGAGGGCGAGTGCCCCATCTGCCATCCCAACAGGCCTCACTCTCTCCAGTCGTGACCTTCCAAGGACACTTGTTCTAATCATATCGTATAGAACTTTTTAACTTTATACATACGTACATATATATGTATGTGTACATATATATATGTATGTGTATATATATGTATATGTGTGTATGTGCATGTTTGTGTATGTATATATATATGCACACACATGCATATACACACATAAAACAAAAACTAGTTGCAGAGCACTTTTTAATATTTTACATCCCGTATCTAAACTGCCCCTCACCTGTGCCCCACTAATTCTAACTCTTGAGGAACTTTGAGAGCTGTTTTTAATACAGATCAAAGGGCCATTTGCAAAGAGTCTGTGTTTCTCCTCTTTTCTATTTAGGTGATAACAAATTTTTGACTATTTCCAGAAGGATTTAGAGTGGGCAAGAGGGGCTTCCATGTGCTTTCCAGAGGAAGAGTTGAGATCATGGGGAGGATCGAGGTGGATTGAAATGACTTGTTCCTGTCTTCAGTCTCCCTCTATTTCACTGACCCAGCTTGGTTAAAGCCGTCCTCCCTGATGGAAGCTCTGCTGGGTGCCTGCCTGGTGGGCCTCACGTTGCCGATCTCTGAATGTGCAGGAACTTTGTCTGTCATTTAATCAGCAAAGTTCGCTTTTTAAATTTTTTTTTACACTCTTTGTATATTTGTATGAAAAGAAGAAAAGAGGGAAAAAAAATGTATTGGACCTAGAGCAAGCCAAGCCCCGAAATTCAGTGACTAGATACAGCTAACACGTGCCAGGTCTGAGTAGCCTTAAAAGTACTGCCCTTTTATCAGCTAAAGCCCTTTATGAAAGAAAAATGGATGCAGAGGTTAGTTCTCTCCAGACACCCCTTTGTCTGGTGGCTGTCTAGAGACTTTTCACCATTTCAGATGAGATTAATTTTGTTTTAGCCACAGGGACCTGATTCATAGTCACCGCTGAAATGCATGAAACAATTCCAGGTAGTCTGAAGACACTTACTGAACAGTCGATGTTGCCTGTGTCAGCACCTCAAGAATTGTTTGTGGACTACTGGGTCCAGAAGCCCCCATGCTAGAGATCATGTATGCCTGTGGTGACAGGGAAAGTCCAGTGTGACAAAGAAATGCCACCAGCTTAGACCTGTCCAGTAGCTGAGCTTTCCTGTGACTTTCTTTAGCAGTGTGTCCATTGGATTTTTACATCAGGTGGATTGCAGTAACCTGCTGGGATCTCAAGTAAAAGGCCACTCAGTTGACTAAACATTTTTATTTTGCACAGGGATGCTGCCTGTGCTACCCCTCCCTGACCTGGAAAAGCACTGGAACCTCCAGCAGCCCACTGTTGTAGGAAAACTGAATTTTTACCGGAGCCTCTCAGAAAGCTTCATATTTAATGCAAAGACATAATTAGGTTTGCTTCCATAATTCCACCTTTCCTTTACATGGAAGGGGTTAATATGCATTCCCAGATGATCTCTTAAGTGCAGCTCTGTGTAGTTCTTTTTTTATGTTTTTCCCATTAACTTGTTTTTGGGTTTTTTGGTAAAAATGCTTTTTTTCTTTTTCCATGTGTATTTTATTGTAACTAGCATCAGTTTTTTTTAAATTTTTTTATGGAGAGACACTGTTGAGTGACTATTGTGGCTATGTTGTTTGGTTATAGCCTTTGAATGTGTGTGCCATGGGGCAGTGCATCTGCCTTGGTCTGATCTTAAGGAAAGACCTTTTATTAAAATACATGAACATTTCTTTTTTAGGAAAAAAAAAAAAAAAAAGGGAAGACAAAAAAAAAGTGGGGGGAAGAGGACAAAGCCCAATGAAGACAAAAATTTACTAAAAAGTTTTTGTAACTAACTTAAATCATAGGAAATAAACTCTTGAATCAGGTCTTCAATATTTATAGGAACCAGAGCTGATCAGCCGGTTTTGCCTATTGGTTTGTAACACTTACTTTTTTTAGTATGGTGGTTTATCTGCTCTCCTGCCTCCCTGTGGGACTGTTCAGGATGATGCTGCCTTTGGCCAACCCTCTTTTTTCAGAACCGTCTGGCACCCGGCTGTTGACTGCATCTGATTACCACAGGGGCTCTTCACTTTGTCCCCTTTCTTCAGATGAAACTTGTCCACTGATGGCAGCTCTAGCTGTCTCAATGGGACTTCCAGTCGTGGTGTGATGTAGGGCTATTGGGTCTAGGGGGAAGAGATATTTGCCCCAAGTTTCCATGGGGGCACATTGCTTAGACAAGGGGGTACAAGGAAAATTGCAGGCCAGAGAAAGCATGTTTTTCCTTTTGAGTAAAGCAGTTTCTCTGTTTTAAAACTTATACTGAAGGACCAAAGAATTCAAAACTTCACCTGCTTGTGGCCCTTAAATTTTAACTTTCCCTTGCCACACTGTACTCATGGCAGAACAGCCTGAAGGAATTAGTACTAGCCCCTTCCCTTGCCCCCATCCCAGCGTTTCTCAGCATTCTCTTTGCACAAGCACATAGACTGTTTCTCACTTTCCTCTGGTTCTTTAAGAAACACTTCCTAAATTTAGGTTTCTATGAATTTGTTTGCTGCTTTAAAAAAAAAATTAAGAAATCTGAAATGTGAATTATTTTCTGAAGCATCAGATGGAAAAGAGAACTTAATCTTTGCATATTTTGTGAATATTTGGGGGGCCACTTATATGACAATTTCATAACAAGTGAGGTGAGAGCAGGTGGAAAGGGCAGCATTTCTGACCCACTCCCAGCAGTTGTTACTGCCTGCCCCAGGCAGGAAGGATGAACTGTAATCACAGCACTGCATTTAAGGCTGAAGAGTCTGTGGTCAGCTTCTGTATGGTGTAAAAAAAGTCTTGTTGAAATAAACCTGGTGCTAATAAGTACAGCCCCTGTAATGTACTGTCAAGCTTCCTTCTGAAGCAGGAACTCCCTTTTACAGGACATGCGGTAACACATCAGAACCAAGGGGGCTTTTTTGGCCGAGTCAAGCTTCAAAACAAATTTTTGGTCCACGAGGCTTCTTGATGAGCACCCCAGCTGGCTGTTGCTTAACAGCTGTGAACATGTCTGGGTCCTGCCTCTTCACACAGACTCCTTATTAGACAATGACATTTTCCTCCCCGAATTTTTGGGAGCTTTGGAAGTGTTGACCTTGGTGACTAATTGTGAAGGTCAGACACTTCTGCATTGAGTTGGGGGAAGGGAGTGTTAATTGTGTTGTGAAACCACAGTATCTTAAAGCTCAACAAACTTTTACATTATTATAGAAAAACAATATAGAAGCAGATGGCTTAAGACAACACTATCCTGGGTAGATAGATACCAAAAAGCAAGGCTAGAGCTGTAGATGATAGCCAGGAGCTAAAGAATTTTGGCATCGCTTTGGGCTAACAGGACCACTTTTAGATCATCTCTGGCCTTAGATGATGTAGCTGCATGCCAGCTGTGGCAAAGACACAGTGGCACAGGAGGGATGGGGGAAAGTCTCAGAGCTGGAGCACAACATTTTCCTTAAGCAGATTCTGCGCCCCCCCCCCAAGGGAGTCGCTGCAGCTGATCCGCTGCCAAAGGGTTTTATACTCTCTGTACATCTCTGAAGCTGAACCTGAGCCACTTGCAAGGCTTGTGCAGCTGAGACAATGAAGAGAATTCCTTACTCTGTGAGGAAGCCCCTAATGCTCAATGGACTCAGTAATTCATTGCTTCCACCAGCCTCCGCACCTCCTCTCCTTCTCCTTTTCCCCCATCTGAGAAGGAAGAATATTACCAGTGTTTTCCTCCAGAATTATAATAATCCTTGGAGTGATGGCCAACAGCAAAATAGATGTTACTGATGTAAAACCTAGTATTTTAAAGGTGAAGTATTCCTGCAATCTAGTGACTGCATCGGAGGGATTTCTGGGGCTTCCCCACTCCGTAGCTTCCAATGTTAAAACAAAATAAATACAGTATACATTTAAAAACAAATAATAATAATACACACTGCAGTATTTCTGGTGGCAATTCTTGACCAGTCTCTTCCCTGCTTTTCCCAGGAGGAAGGGCACTGGGCAGAAGCGCCCCTAGTCTGTGTAGAAGTTGGCAGAATGGTGATCGGTGGTGTGTAAAACGTGTTGTTGATTCCATGTATAGAACTGTGATTTCAGCTGTCGTTCTCTCGTACTCTGTAAATATGTGTTTTGGCTGTCGGAAACCTGGTTTAGACTCTTTTCTTGGCAGAGTGAATTTGCATGTGGGGCTGGAAAGAACTCAATCTGTGTCACAGTTTCCAAGGGCAGGATGGATTTTTTTTTTTAGAGGACAATAAATTTTTATTTTTTTGCTAAGAAAAAAAAAATATAATAAAGCAGTGTGTGCGTGTGTGTGTGCGCGCATGCATGCCCGGGGTGTATGTGCAGCTTGGGGAGGTGTGGAGAAGTCTGTGCGGAGTTTTGAGGAGCCCTCAAAACAACAGATCTGTGGCCAGTTTTGCCTTCTCCCTTTCACACGACCAAGAATAATTTCTTCCTGAGCTCCCTTCTGGATCAAGCCCCTTTTTTCAGGGTGGGTGTCCTTCACCTTTATGATCAAGGTGTAGTAATGGAAGAGGGGGAGAGTCGATGCGGTGCAGTTAGGTGGGACAGAAACTCCTTTGGAAATGGCAAAGCCACAGAGCAAAGACTGCTTTTATCACCCAGATAAAAGTTTATCTCCTGCAAGAGCCAGGCTGGGCCAAGGTAAGCTCTGCCTGCGCCTGTGTGCCTGTGCAACTGCAGGGGATATGAACATTTAAATCGTTACATACGTAGTTTAATGCATGGGCACCCAAAAGAACATGCCTTACATACGGCTCCAAGAATTACCTTTTATTTTTGGTCTAATTAATGCTTCAAAGATGCATCAATCTCTTACTATTAGTCCAATCACAACAATAATCCAAATCAATTTATATTACAGATTATTAGTAACACAATAAAATTGGTAGATGTAAGTGCCTGCCCCCTTCCCTCATGTGTTGCAGCAATCTGCCTGTGTCAAGGTTCTTCACCAGGATGATGATAATGGGGATTTCTTCCTCCTCAGTCTTGCATTTGCTAGGAGCTGGTTTTCTGTGCTTCAAGCCTTATTTTTTAACACTTGGGCTATTCTCCTGGTCCCTGGGGTTAGTTAACACTCTGCTTGTTTAAGGTTTATTAGTCCTTCTCTGTAAAGGATATGATTTCTTTTGGGGCGGGAAAAGACCCACACAACCGCCCAGAGCTGAGCAAAAATTAAGCTAAAACACCTTGGATAATAAAGAGCAAACAACCTCAAAACAGGTTAGCCTGTGCCACCTGCTCACTGGGACACGCTGTCTGTTCCAGCAAGGACACCTGGGTGATGGTCAGCCCAGAGCAAGTTAGAGCACAGCAATTTTTAAACATACGGCTAAAAATAAGCTAAAACCATGTTCAGACCTGCAGCCCCATATAGCTAAGCCTTGCAATAAAGCGTGAGGCAGGTTGCTAGCAGGTGCCAACACCAAATTAGCTGCAGAGTGCAGGCTTGGGGTTTCCTCTCTCCGGGAGCGGGAGCAGGAGCAGTGACTAGTCTGAAATGACGCCCTGGGACAGCGAGCATCTCCTCCCCAAGCAGGGACCCTTCTCTGGAATCTTGCTTCTCTGTAGAGCTACAAGGGGGGACTGAAAAGAGTAATTTAAGCCAGCAAATGGCTTCCTCGTGAGCGAGCAGCGCCTTAATCCCTCCTGCTGTGGGTTTGAGTGCGCCTGGCCATGTCACACAGATACCAAAGGAGCTTTCCCCCCACCACCACCCCCGCATCGAGGGCTTGACCTGAATTGACCCAGCCGTTGCTCTGCCCACCAAGAAAGCATCTGGTGCTCAGGCAGCCCGGAGGGTGATGCTTTTAATTCCCTGAGATGCAGTGGCTCCCAGGGACGTGCTGCAGCTCAAACCCAGCCACCCCCTTGCAGGGCGTGGGCAGAAGGAGCTCCAGATTTATAATTAGTAATAAGTGCAGCTAAAACAAGCTGCAAAAACCCAACAGTTTGCAACCACGTGCCCTGCCGGGCATTTTTGCTGTTAGACCTGGGTCACCCCACATGCGATGCACCCTGCGAAGCTGCCCACCACTGTGGGTTGTAGCCAGAGGGACCCAGGTCCCTGGCACAAGCTGGGGGCAACGCTGGACCTCTGCCCACTGTGTCTGGGCTCTGGGCAGCCCAAAGTGCCGTGTGGTTTGGCTGACGGGTCTGCAATGCTGTTTATTGCTGCCCAGAATCCAGCAAGCTCCCAGGCTCCCTCAGTTCCAGTGGGCACCCTGAGGTCGATAGGATCCGTGGTAAAATACAAAAACACACACAAGAGCTATGCACATTTTTAAAAAGGAAAAAAAAAAAACAAAAAAACCCCCCCCAAAAAACCAACAAAAAACCAACCACAAAACCTGACTGGCTGCACAGGGGTGTGCCAGGCCCGGAGGCGGCAATGCCAGGCTGGGCAGGGATGGCTCCTGCTCCCATCCCCTCTCGCCCAGCGCCACGCAGCCCTGAGGACACACATGTCTGCCTGGGGCCCTTTTTTTTTAT